TCAAAAGTATAGAGAGGGTCTGCGGTCGATGAGATGGCTCTAAAGTGAATTTAGTCCACACTAAGTGTAACTATTTAACCCTGCACATGCGCACCCACTCAGGGGGAACTAGAGCTCAGCGCAAGCTATGGAGTCTGCACGTTCTCTGGGCCAAATTATGAAAGCCTCAGAAGAGGGATAGGACATAGCTCAGCTTTGCAGAGTGCTTACCCAGCTTGCACAAAATCCTGGGTTTGATGCCCAGCAATGAATAAAAAAAAAAAAAAAAAAAAAAAAAAAAAACCCAGGTGTGATGGCGCATGCCTGTAATCCCAGAACTGCGGGTAGGGGTGGGAGGGTGGGGGGTAAAGGCAAGAGGATCGGAGCCAGCTCGGAATATATGAGACTCTGATTTAAAAAGAAGGGGAACGGAAAACGGGGAAGCCGCTGTAAGTGCTGGTGGTACCCCAACCGGTTTGGTGATCTATGGGGCTTTTTCAGCGTGGTCACATTTGTAAAATGGGTTTGAAACAATATTTTGAGTAGCGATTTCGCGCCTGTAACGGGTATTGTTTGCTAGGGAATTTCCTCCGATGTTTATAGCACACTGATTGATTAACCCACAGCTGAGTCTGGGTGATCTACAAGCTCCGCTGTGTGGTTGCTAAGAGACGAAGATGTCTCTGAATTCCGGTGATCAGCTCGGCGAAGAAAGGCCGGCTCTGCCCGCTATACACAGCGCCACCAAGCGGCGTCTCTCAGAACTGCTCTCCGGCCTTCCCTCTCCATTGTTCCAATTAAGAGAACAAAGGCCCACTGAGTATCCTTCAAGGTCGGCCCTCTGCGAGGACGTTTATTTTCCAACAAATGAATGGTGAGAGACACTAATTGTCATATTTATTTGAAAATAAAGTTCCTGGGGGGTGGAGAACCATAGCAGGTGTGTATGGAGGTCAACTTTCAGGAGCTGGCTACTTCCATCCAGGGACAGAACCCAGATCTTGGGTTTGGTGGCAAGCACACACTGAGCCCACTCACCCACCCAGTTTGTCCAGAACGGTAGATTACCCCCAACTTTACTTTTTGGCCTGATTTCAATCTTCTAAAGGGAGAGAAACTTCTAGTGTTCCTTCTGCTCTGGAAAATGCATATTTAATTTAAATTGTTATTTTATGTATTTACTTTTTAGGAGACATAGTCTCACTTTGTAGCCTAGGCTATGTAGTCCAGGTCTTCAGCCTCCTAGGATCCAAAGCATAAGCCTAAATCTTTTTTATTTTTAGATGGGAGAGAGGGGGCCGGTCAGGACTAACCCGAATGCCTTACATGTTAGACTATCACTTTCCATTGAGCCGTATCCTCAGCTCTCTTTCTTTTTTTAATTTTAATATAGTCCTGCTGTGGCCAGGCATAATGGCACATGATTTTAATCCCAGCACTCTGTAGGCAGAGGCAACCAGATCTGTATGACTCTGAGTCTAGCCTGGTCTACATAGTGAGTTCCAGGACAGCCAGTGCTACAAGTGAGACATGCCTCCATTCCACTATCCCCGAAAAGTTAAATTTCAAAGGTAAGACAGTAAAATAGATTAAAGGCGGGATGGTGCTGCAAACTGGTGTCACCCCAGCATTTGGGGGGCAGAAGCAGGAGGGTCAGGAGTTCAAGGACAGCCTTGTCTTTATAGAAAGTTCTAAACCAGCTTGAGCTACAGGAGACAATCAAGGCCAGGTGCCACACACGTCTTTAATCCCAGCATTCAGGAGGCAGAGGCAGGTGGATCTCTGTGAGTTTGAGGCCAACCTAACCTACAGCCTGAGTTCCAGGACAGCCACAGATACACAAAGAAACCCTGTCTCAAAAAATCAAAACCAAAATAACAACTGATGGAGGAAGGTCATTGGTTAAGTAATAAAGAAACTGCTTGGCCTCATAGGTTAAAACATAGGTGGGAGGAGTAAACAGAACAGAATGCTGGGAGGAAGAGGAAGTGAGCCCAGAGACGCCATGCTCCCCTCTCTGGGCAGACGCGATAGCTCTGCTCTCCGAGGCAGATGCGATGAAGCAAGCGCCAGGTCAGACATGCTGAATCTTTCCCAGTAAGACTGATGCTACACAGATTATTAGAGATGGGTTGATCGGGATATGAGAATTAGCCTGTAAGGGCTAGAGTTAATGGGCCAAGCAGTGTTTAAAAGAATACAGTTTCTGTGTAGTTATTTCGGGGCATAAGCTAGCCAGGTGGCTGGGGTGCTGGGGACACACCCCCGCTGCTCCTATTACTACAAACAACAATGAAAATAAATAAATAAATAAATAAACCCCCCCAAATCCATAAATCAATAAAATAGGGGCAGGTGTTAGTTTTTTGTCAACTTGACACAAGCTAGTGTCATCTGGGAAGAAGACCCTGAATTGAGGAAATGCCTCCATCAGACTGGCCTGGGCTATTTTCTTTATTGATGATTGGCATGGGAAGACCTAGACCACTGTGGGCAGTGCCACCCTGGGCTGATAGTCCTGGGCTAAGTAAGCCACGGAAGCAATCCAGTAAGCAGCATTCTTCCCTGGGTTGTGCTTCGGTTTCTGACTCCAGGCCCCAGCCCCAACTTCCCTTCATGATGGACTGTGAGGTTTGTAAAATGAAATAAACCCTTTCCTCCCCAGGTTGCTTTTGGTCATGGTGTTTATCACAGGCACCGAAGCAAAGTAGGAAAGCTGCTGGGCTTGCTGAGTGAGCCTGCATGCCTGTGCACACACACATCATACATACACACAATAACAATAGTAAAGTTTAAATAAACAGAGTCTGGAGAGATGGCTTAGCAATTAGAGCACTTGCTGCTCTTGCAAAGGACTGGCGTCATGTTCCCAGATGGTTCTGATGCCCTCTCCTCCTCTCCGCAGGCACTTGTACACTTCAACACACACATACACACTACAGTATTTAAAATAAGTGCCAGGTGATGACACACAAGCCTTTAATCCCAGCACTCAGGAGGCAGAGGCAGGTGGATCTCTGTGAATTTGAAGGCAGCCTGGTCTACAGTGAGTTCCAGGATAACCAAGGCCACACAGAGAAACCCTGTCTCGAAAACCAAAACAAACAAAAATAAATAAGTAGAACAAGTAGAAGGGAGCTTTCTGCTTTAAAGTCTGAACCATGAAATGCAGAGGCCAAGTGAGGCAAGCCTCTGACTCATTCCAGAGACATCTGCCAAGCGTGCGAAGAGGGGGACAGAGGGAAACACAAGGTCTTGTTTTCTTTTACATTTTTAGCCTTTTGAATTGGTCCTTTGAAGGGAGCATCTCGACCTAAAAGCATTTCTGAAGGTATTTTGTTGTTGTCATCCGCTTCTGAGGACAGTCTCACGACATGACCCTGCTGGTCTGGAGCCTACTGTGTAGACCAGGCTGACCTTGAAATTCCAGGTCCTCCTGCCTCCGGCGTGCTGGCAAGGGTGCAAGCACGTCCAACCTCTGCAGATGATGTTAAAGCAAATATCTTATTGTTCTGTTTGGGTTTTGTCTTGGCTTTTGAGACAGGCTCTCACTATGTAGCCTTGGCTGGCCCAGATCTTGCTATGGAGCCCAGGGTGGCTTAAACTCGGGGCTCTGCCTGTCTCTGCCTCCTGAGTGTTGTGATTTAAAGTGAGTGCCTGCATTGCTGTCCATTGTCACAAATACCAAACTCAGTCTTGTCTTATTTACTGGTGTTTGTGAGACTAACTTCTGGATGAGGTTGAAGAACCAATCTATGGCCAAGAGAAAGGTGTGAGCCAGCATCAAACTCCATTTTGATGTCATCTTTACAAAATCGCGATCAGGCCCACAGGGCACGTCTTGATGGGGCTGCTCACGTCAGAAGTCTCTGAAGAGACTTCTGAAATGGTAAGGAATGAGCCACAGGAGGAGGGCCTGAGTCAGAATGCCAGCTGTCACATTCCAACCTAACAAGCTGCCTCACATGAGAAGTTCCAGCCTCCTCATCTGGTAAATAGAGACAATTATGAACTCACCACAGGTGAGGCTGAGGCAAGAGTGCCTTGAATATGTAGTCAGTCTGGGCTGTAAAATGAGACCCAAACTAAAGAAACACAAGTAAAACCCATAAATACATCACGGAATGGTTGAGAGGATGAGCTAATACATAGATTGCTAAGCAATGAGTTATTACACGCGGCTTGTTAGCTAGCCCATGAAAATGCAAACCAGGCTTGTCTGTAAAGCCCTTACTTCATTAAAATAAATTCCTTGTGTTGTATTGTCTTTGAGACAGTCTTACACGCGTAGCCAAGGATGACCTTGAACTTCTGATTCTCCTGCCTTCATCTCCAGAGGACTGGAATTATGGGTGTGTGCTATATTCAGATATATATATTTTTTTTTTTCTAAAGGTATTAGTGCTAGATTTCAAATCAAACCTGGGAATAAAGGAGCCAACTCCTAAGTCATGGTTCCTGTCCGAGTTTGGAAGCAAATCATGGTTCACGCTAGGGAGACAGAAGAGAAGGGTGTCTGACAAGATGACCTCATAGGGCTGGAGGGATGGCTCCTCAGTTAGGAGCACATGTCACTCTTGCAGTGGACCCGAATTTGACCCCAGCACCTGTGTCGGGTGGCTGACAACAGTCTGTAATCCCAGTCCCAGGGGATCCAATGCCATCTTCTGGTCTCTGTGGGCACCCTCCCCCACAAACACGTAAGTGAATGGTTATTTTTTTTTATTGTAATTACAATAAAAGGCCTCGTGTCCAAATTTATAGGAGAAAAAGTAGTCAAATCTTGCCCTTGTGCCCTGGTGGTCACAGGAGGTCCAGGCATTTGAAGAGCTCTTTGTGAACTGCAGAGCACAGAGAAATGTCATTCCTGTTTTTGGCAAGCCTAGCAAGGAGGCTTGCTCCTTTGCCTGAATATGACTTAGAGAAGGAAGATATGGGTCCTAGGAGCTCTGTGGGTGAATCACAGTATGTTGGTGCACTGGTTTCAAGCTTACACCAGTAAGAAGGCTCAGGGGGGAAGGTGCCCGTTGTTAAGCCCAATGGCCCAAGTTCAGGCTCCAGAACCTACAGAGTGGAAGGTAAGGACTCCTGCGAGCTGTCCTCTGTCTCTCCAAGTGCACCCCACCACCACCAATAAATCAATAGTGGATTTTCAAGGCTTCACCAGCTGCTTGGACTAAGGAAGGATAACAAGAGAAGGCAAGGAAGGTAGATGACTGCAAGCATCTCTCCCCCAAAGAATGGTTAAACCCATCACAGGAGGCTTCCCCAGTCCCATTAGGCTCGGTGGATGGGCAGGGTTGCTCGGCTGAGAAACACAAGTTCTTGAAATGTTCTGCTTAACAGATTTCAGTGGAATAGGAGGCCGCGGTTACCAAAATTCAGTAGAGAAAAGACAAAAACAAAACAAAGCAAGACAGAACCAACAATAGAAGAGTGTGTATACTGACAGGGTGCTAGGGCAAAAATAGCAAAGTGTTTTACATTTTTCTTTCACATTTATTTAGTGTGAGTGTGCAGACACAAGTGTAGGCGTGCCACAAAAACGTGTGTGGAGACCACACCTTGTGGGAGTTGGTTCTCTCCTTCCGTCATGGGGGCTACCGGGATCTAACTCAAGTCGTCAGGCTTGGTAGTGAGCGCCCCCACCCTCTGAGCTATCGCTCCCATTCAGGAAAGAACTTCCAAACAAACGAACAGAGAGGTTTTTGCTTTTTAAAAATTTTGTGTGTAAAGGTGCTTTGCCAGCATAAGTGTCTGTGCACAAGCGTGTAGTGTTCCGAGAGGCCAAAAGAGGTCACTGACTCCCCTGAAACCAGAACACAGGTGGCTGTGAGCTGCCATGTGGGTGCTGGGGTTTGGAAGACCAACCACTGCTCTTAACCACTGAGCCATCTCCAGCCCAGGAAAGAACTTTTCACGGGCATCTATCAGTGGGCGCACTACTGACCAACAAGATCCACAGGAACCGCAATCAACAGTGGATGCACTTTACAAACAGACGGCCGAGTGAGAACTACGCCAATCCCTTCCCTCTTTATATAGTTAAAGGTTTTTAATCTCTGGCACATAACAACAGTGGAAGAACTCTTAGAAATTAGACAAAAGTGTTTGGTGGGGTTGAATTGATGGGCCAGGCAAGCTTCTTTTCCCTGGCCTCTCGGTCAAATGAGTCATAGACGGAGTCTTTGGTTACCGTCCTGCTCACGGGAGGGATTTCTGAAATGCCGACATAGTTTCTTTTGGCCATCCTCGAGCTGGCTGTGATGGTGTAGGCATTGCTGCGGTAGCATCTCATCGAGGACATGCAGAAAGTCTCTTTCAACCCTCTCCGAAAATTGGCGTTATAAATTGAGTAGAGAGTGGGCTTCGAGGCTGAAGAGCTAAAGGACACCCACGTGACCGCTGTGAAGACAAGGGAGCTCTTCTTATAGTCTTGCTCGTGGGGGTGCCAGAGCTGAGCCACGTGGAAAGGCAGCCAGGAGAACAGAAACACTACGTTCAAGAGGAGAAACATCTTAACGGTTCTCACCTTTGTCCTGGGGACGATGTTCATCGTCCTCCTCAGGGTCCGCCCATCAGTGCCTATTCTCCAGATGTATTTTATGACCTTCTGGTAGAATAAGATTATGAGGACAGAGGGAATCACAAAGCCCACCAAGAAGTGGATAACAGTATAGGCGGTTCCCTCCCAGGAGGAAGGGAGGAAGTAGTTACAATGGCTGTCCCAGCTGGAGCCGTAGAAAAAGAAGACGGGGGTCACAAATGCTGCATCTAAGATCCAGGAGGCTGCGATCATCTTCTTGGCCTTTTCCCTGGACACCTTGAAGCTCAGTGGGTAGACGATGGTGTAAAATCGGTCTATGCAGATGGAGAGAAGCACGTAGATCTGGACACCCGGGGTAAGATACTGGCAGTAGCGCACGACCTTGCACATGGCACTGCCGAGGGTCCACTGTCCCATGGTGAACTGCAGCACCACGAAAGGCGTGCTGGCCACACTGATGAGAAGGTCAGCACACGCCATGGACACCACAAAGTAGTTGGTGGTGGACTGAGTCCTCCGGCTCCTGTGGATGACCAGACACACCAGGGAATTGCCAAAGATAGAGAACAACCACAGAGCGCCAAAGAAAATGCTGGCTGTAGCCACCTCTCCAGGGTTCAGTCTATACCGAAGGTCTGTCCTGTTGCTCATCCAGCCGTGCTCCTCATGGAATTCCACCAGGCCACTGGGCAGCAGGGCCTCAGCTGCCTCCATGCAGCTGTGGTTCTGAAGGGGCACCAGCGGGGTAGCAGTAAGCACAGGCAGCTGGTCGTTCTCCATTCTGTGAGAAAAACCATAGCAGTCATTCTTTTCCTCTTAGTTCTAGATAAGACAAGAATGAAGCCTCCTGTTAAGATGCTGTCACGTAAGCTGGCTGCTAACGAGCCAGGTCTTTTTATACTCTTCACTGTACAGTACTGGATTTCATAGACATTTCGTTCAGGCCAGCCACGTGCTTGACCACATTCACCCTCCAAAACATCCTCTTCTCCCCTCTTTTTTTTTTTTTGGTTTTTCGAGACAGGGTTTCTCTGCAGCTTTGGAGCCTGTCCTGGAACTCCCTTTGTAGACCAGGCTGGCCTCGAACTTACAGAGATCCGCCTGCCTCTGCCTCCCGAGTGCTGGGATTAAAGGCGTGCGCCACCACCGCCCGGCTTCCCTCTTGCTAGGCTTTCTTCTCCCAGACAATCTTGCTTCTGTCTGTCTGTCTTGTCTGTCTGTCTGTCTGTCTGTCTGTCTGTCTCTCTCTCTCTCTCTCTCACACACACACACACACACACATCAATGATTTCATGTATCTATTAAAAATCTAGGATCCAGAGATGACAGAAACACATGTGGCACTTGTCTGTGTCTGAGCTGTTTTGTTGCTAGGCTCTCCACCTCCATCCACTTCACTCTATTCTGTATGGCTGGATGGACTCCACTATGCTCCGTATGTAGCCCACTTTCTTTATTCATCTGCTGGCTGATTCTGTATCTTGGCTGTGGTGAGCTGGGTTGCAGTGAACACAGATGTGCAGGTACCTCTGTGTGTATTACCCAGGAGTGGCAAAAAGACTCCATTGTATAGACACCGAGCTCGGTGGTCGATTGTCAATGATTAGAAAACATAACTACTAGGCTGGGTATGGAGAACTCTATGAGTTCCAGGACAGCCAGGGCGACGTAATGATCCTGTCTCAAAAAAGGGTAAAGGGAGAAGAAAAAGAAAAGGGGGGGGGGGAGAGTGGGAAGGAGGAAAGGAGGAAGGATCCTCAAAAAGACAGCGGACAAAAAAAATCCCAGTAAAACAGCACAAATTCAGAGGGCAGGCTTCTGGGCTGATCGTTAAGGCCGCATTATCCTTAGACACAGTCTCCTTCACACCATACCGCCTTTTATCCTTTGTGTGTGCACATCTGTGTGATATGCATTTGTCTGTGTGTGGACAACAGTGTGTCTTCCTCACTCACTGTCCTCTGTATTACGTTTTAAAATAAATGTGGGTATGAGTAAGCTGTAACATCCACACATTATCTTAAATTTAAATTTTTTTTTTTTAGATTTATGTGTATGAGCGTTTTTCCTACTTGTATGTATGTGCACTGTGTACATGCCTGGTGTCTTCAGCAGTCAGAAGAGGGTGTTGGATCCCCTGGAACTGAACTTACAGGCAGTTATAAACCACGATATGTATGCTGGGAACCAAAGCTGGGGTATCTGCATGAGCAACAAATGCTCTTACTACTGAGCCACCTTTTCAGGCCCTCCACTGTAGTTTTTGACACAGGCCTCAGACTGGCTAGCTAGCACCTCCTGAGGTCCTCCTGCCTCTGCTCTGCACCAGAGCTAACAGGACCATTCGACAGTGCTCAGCCCTTCAAATGGGTCCTAGGAGATGAAGTCAGGCCCTTGCACTTGCTGTCCAACGCTGACTGAGCCACCTCTCCAGCCCCCAGAAGAGTCTATTCAGCAGGTGCTTTGCAACCGAACTGACCTAAGACTTCCCCACACTTACAATGAAAGGCTGTATTTTGCTGTATTTTCTGCACTCATGGGCTGAAATGTGACTGGATAGTAGGTTAGCCTGTCCAGAAAGGCTGTGGTACCCTGTTCATTCTGCACTTAATTCTTCACTAAGTTTTCCCTAGCTTAGCAATTCACTATAATCTCCCAGAAACCTCTAAAATATACTGATTTCTGGTCCCCCCTCCCCAGCCCCGGGATTTTAATTTAATAAGTCGGGAACATAGAAGGCATCAGGATGTTCCAGAGACCCTCAGGTGACGATTAAGGAACACAACTTTAATAGCTTTCTATGCTTCTGTCTCTGCCCACTGAACTCTGGGTTATGGAGGAGGCATTATTCTGTTCTCCATGCCTCACAGTCTAACTCAAGGACTTTGCATTAACAATTGCTTGTTAAATATTAACTGAATTGGACCCATAAGCACAGGGAACTTTAACAAACTCCTCCCACCCATGGCACTGCTAGGAAAATTCAATGGGAGCAGACAGAAGATCACTGTGTTCTCAGGGAGCTGAACGCCAATAACTGTAGGAGCAGAAGAAAACACGATGCTGGAAGAGAGGGCGGGGAAACGGTCACCCGGTTCCACTGCCACACTAGGGCAGAGGACAACAGCTTAGGGGCCCACAGACAGGTCTACCCCAAAGCAGGGAAAAGCCTGCTCCTTGTCATCCTGGCGTCCCAGAGTAAAAGTTCTCAAAGGCTTCTGCTAGTGTAGAAATAAAGCCTTTTAGGGGGAAAAGAGGGGGGGAGGGCTGTTTAATTAGTAACTATGTCTAGAGTCATCTATACATGGTCATTTTAGAAGTGACAGATACTCTGTGAAGTTATGTTAATTTACGTATACCTGTTTAGCTGAACAAATAATCCCAAAGTTAGGCTCTGTTGCCTTGTAGTACATTAACCAGTTTTGTGCCTAACCAGCTGACACAGTTTTAATACTGACATTTTTTTAAATGCCTCTAAATCTGCATTGCTTCAAATGCTCTTAGAAGCAACTTTATCTCAGCATCTTGTAGTGATATTTTGTGTTTTAACAAATAAAGCTTGCCTGAAGATCAGAGTGCAGAGCTAAGCCACTAGTGGCCAGGGAATGGTGGCACAAACCTTTAATTCCAGAACTCGGGAGACAAAGGCAGAGGGATTTCTGTTAATTCAAGGCCACCCTGGTCTACACCAGACTGAATCTGTCTAAAAGAGAAAGAGCTCAACACAAAAGTGATTCTAGCTACATGGGATCCTACACCTTTAATCCCAGAGCTATGGAGGTGGAGACAGGTGCCAGGATATGGTTGGGCAGAGAGAGGAGACGAGACAAGGATATAGTTGGGCGGGAAGAGACAAAAGCTCAGTGCAGCCTAAGGATGCAATCTGAGGGCAGTCTGAGCACTGATAGAGGTAAAATGTCTCTCTAGAGGCTGGCACACTGCATCCTGGATGGATGGATGGATGGATGGACGGACTGATGGGCAGATGGAGGACTGGAAGCTAATAAGATGAAGAGAAGGACCACAAAGAGAAGGATTCTTGGATGTGGTGACACATGCTTTTAATCTAAGCACTAGGGAGGCAGAGACAAGTGGATCTCTGTGAGTTCAAGGCCAGTCAGAGCTGTAAAATGAGACCCTGTCAAAAGAAAAAAAAACAAAAACCAAGAGGGGCACACATGATGAACTTTGTGCACTGTGGAGGGCTGACCCCATCTAAGCTGACCAATAGCTAGTTAGTTTCTATACCATGCAACGTCACTCCTAGGAGTTTTAAAACTCTAGTAAAGGGAGCTAGAAAAATACTCAGTAGATAAAGTGCTTGCCACACAAGTATCGGAAGGATGCATATAAAACCTTAGACCTCCAAAACCCATATAAAACTTGGTGGGCATGGAGGCCTGGCTATAATCCCAGCACTTGGGAGACAGAGATGGAAATTTTAGGACAAGCTGGTCAGTTGGACTAGCAGCATCAGCAAGCTCTGGTTCAATGGGGAGACCCTGTCTCAGTAAATAAGGCAGACCAGAGAAGACACTTAATGTCAGTCTCTGGCCTCTGCGTCCACACATGCATGTATACCATATACACACACATGCAAAAAACACCACTAACAACTGACATTTACCTGAGAGTCCATTCTATTCCGTTCCAAGCCATCATTGTTTAAGGCATTTCTCTTTTATGTACAGCCAATACAAGCCCACAGTAAAAGGAATGGTTAAAGAAAAAAAAAAACTATCAGCATAGTATTTTCTTTAAAAAAAATTTTTGTCTTACATGTGCAGTTTTTTACTTGCTTGATTGTGTGTGTGTGTGTGTGATGTGTGCAGTCCCCAAAGAGACCAGAAGAGGGCATTATAACCCCTGGAACTTATAGAGAGACGTCTCGGTAAGTGTGAGCTTATAGATAAGCCACCACGTGGGTGCTGGGAACCAAACCCTGGGTATCTGCAAGAACAGAAAGTGTTCTTAGCCACTGAGCCATCTATCTAACCACACCACAGTATTTTCTAAAATGATTAAAATTTTAAAACAGAGACCAACTTTTCCCTCTCTTCATTTGAGCCTGTGTGTAGTCTTCAGAAAGCAAGTCAAACAGACCATACTGAGTTTGTAGAATGTGTAGTCCTTTATACTGAAGTTCTCCAGACCAGGTTGTCTGTGCTGTATTCAACCTGGATGAGAGATTCTGTCTCAAAAACCAAAAAACTTAAAATAAAAAATCAATCTTAGCTTAAGATTGTCAAAATGCTAGTTTTTTACATAGCTTAGTTTAGAATGCTTCTACAGAATAGTAATACGGACTGCAGCACCTAAGGTCAATCGATGACAGTGGGGCTGTGACAATATTAGCATCACCCACAGGTAATACTTCTGTATATAATCCTCGGGGGCAGATGATATTGCCAGCTGGTTTTACCAGGGAAGGGAGCCTGAAGCTTTCCCCTAGACCACACAGTTGGAAACAGTGGTCACTTTGGGTTTCTTGCTCCATTTGGGTGAGCTTCATGTACACGGAGACCACAGGGGCTTGACCTGAATCTAGAGGGTCACACAGGCTGTGCTTGGAGGCCTTTCTGGACTCCTCATCCAAAACTAGAAATATCAAGTTATTCCCTACAGCCTCTCGCCTACCCACAGATAACATCTTTTCAACTTGAACGCTGGAATTTGTGATATATCCATCCCTAGCTGAGGAGCTAGTGACAGCTTTATGGATATGATCCCTGGTTGGTTGACCATGCTCTACTGGATGGCCCCACAACCACGCATATACAGGCAACACAAATTAGACTCAGTGAGTTAAAAAAGAAAGACAG